CATATCTTGGCTATTGTAAATAATGCTGCAGTAAACATAGGGATGCATATGTCTTTTTTGAATGAGTGCTTTCATTTTCTTTGGGCAAATAGCCTAAAGTAGAATTACTGGATCATATGGTAATTCTATTTTTAGGTTTTTGAAGAACATCCATTCTATCTTCCACAGTGGCTGTACCAGTTTGCATTCCTACCAACAGTGCACAAGGGTTCCTTTTTCTCCACATCCTTGCCAATATTTCTTATTTCTTGTATTTTTTATTTTGGCTATTCTGACAGGTTTAACTTGGTAACTCATTGTGAGTTTGATTTGCGATTTCCTGATGATTAGTGATGTCAGGCTTCTTTTCATATGTTTGTTGAGTTTTAGGAGTTCTTTATATATATTTTGAATATTAGTCCCTCATTTGCAAATATTTTCTCCCACTTGGTAGGTTGCCTTTTCATTTTATTGGTGACTTCCTTTGCTGTGCAAAGCTTTTTAGTTTGATGTAGTCTCATCTGTTTGTTTTTATTGCCTTTGTTTTTGTCAAATTCAAAAAATCTTTGCGAAGACTGATGTCAAAGACTTTATCACCTTTTTCTTTTAGTAGTTTTATGGTTTCAGGTCTTTATTCAAGTCTTTAACTCATTCTGAATTAAATTTTATACATGGTGTATGATAGTTTTTCCAACATCATTTATTGAAGAGACTGCCCTTCCTGCGTTGTATACTCTTGACTCCTTTGTTGTAAATTAATTGGCCATATATGTATGGGTTTATTTCTGGGCTCTCTGTTCTATTCCATTCATCTGTGTCTTTTTATGGCAATACCATTTTGATTACTATAGCTTGGTAATAGAATTTGAAATCAGGAAATGGTGATACCTTCAGCTTTTTTATTCTCTCTCAAAATTGCTTTTGCTATTCAGTCATACACATTTCAGAACTGTTCTATTTCTGTGAAAAATGCCATTGGAATTTTGATAGAGATTGCTTTGGATAGTATGGCCATTTTAACATGACTTCTTCCAGTCCATGAATATAGAACATCTTTCTATTTATATCTTCCTCAGCTTCTTTCGATATTTTACAGTTCTCAGTGCACAGATCTTTCACTTCCTATTTTATTCTTTTTGCTGCAACTGTATATGTTCATTTAAATTCCTCTGATGTTCATTATTAGTGTATAGAAACAACAGATTTCTGTGTGTTTATTTTGTATCTTGCAACTTTACTGAATTTATTAGCTCTAACACTCTTTTAGTGAAATCTTCAGGGTTTTCTGTTTAGTGTCATATTATCTGCAAGTAGTGGCAGTTCTACTTACTTCTTTCCAATCTGGATGCCTTTTCTTTTCTTGGCAAAAATGCTCTAGCTAGGACTTCCAATATTATGTTAAATGAAAGTGGCAAGAGTGAGCATCCTCATATTGTTTCTGATCTTTCAGCTTTTCCCTGCTGAGTATGATGTTACCTGTGGGCTTGTTGTATATGGCCTTTATTATGTTGAGGTACATCTCCTCTAAATCCACTGTTTTTATCATAAATTGGCGCTGCATTTTGTCAAATGCTTTTTCTGTAACTATTAAAGTTGGTCATGATATTTATCCTTCATTTTGTTAATGTGGTATATCACATTGTTTTAGATGTTGAACCACCCCTGGAATAAATCCCACTTGATCATAGTATATGATCCTTTTAATGTACTGTTGAATGTGATTTGCTAATATTTTGTTGAAAATTTGGATCAGTGTTAATTGGGGATATAGGCTGTAATTTTAGTTTTCTTGTGGTGTCCCTGTCTGGTTTTGGTATTAGGGTGATGCTGGTTTTGCAAAATGAGTTTGGAAGTGTTTCTTCTTCTTCTTTTTGGAAGAGTGTGATAAGGATTGGTGCTAATTCTCCTTTAAATATTTTGCTAGAATTCATCAGTAAAGCTACCTGGGCTTTTGTTTGTTGGGAGGTTTTTGATCGCCAATTCAATCTCCTGAATAGTAAGCAATGTGTTCAGATTTTTAATTTCCTTGATTCAGTCTTGGTAAGTTGTATGTCTCTAGGAGTTTCTCCATTCCATACAGGTTTCAAACTTGTTGTTGTGTTCATAGTAACTTATGGATCCTTTGTATCTCTGTAGTATTAGTTGTAACATCTCTTTCATTCAAATTTTGTTCATGTCCTTTTGTTTGTTTGTATTTTTACCTTGGGGAGTCTTGCTAAACATTTGCCAATTTTATTTGCCTTTTCAAAAATCAACTCTTGGGCAGCCCAGTGGCTCAGCGGTTTGGCGCCACCTTTGGCCCAGGGTGTGATCCTGGAGACCCAGGATAGAGTCCCATATTGGGCTCCCTGCATGGAGCCTGCTTCTTCCTCTGCCTGTGTCTCTGCCTCTTTCTGTCTCTCATGAATAAATAAAATCTTAAAAAAAAAAAAAAAAATCAACTCTTAGTTTCATTGACACGCTCAACTGTCTTTTTAGTTTCTATTTCATTTCTTTCTATTCTGATCCTTGTTATTTCCTTCCTACTACTAATTTTGGACTTCATTTGTTCCTCTTTCTCTAGTTTGTTGAGGTGTAAAGTTAGGTTGAGATTTTTTTTTCTTGTTTCTTGATGTAGGCATTTACTGCTATGAACTTCCCTCTTAGAGCCACCTTTGCTACATCCTCTAAGTTTTATTATGTTGTATTTCTATTATCATTTTTCCCAAAGTATTTTTTCTCTTTTGATTTGTTCTTTGACCCACTGTTGTTCAGTAGTATGTAGTTTAATCTCCACATACTTCTGAATTTTCCAGTTTTCTTCCTGTGATTGATTCTAGTTTATACCATTGTGATTGATTCTAGTTTATACATTGTGGTCAGAAACGATGCTTGATAGGATTTTAATTTTTTTTTTTTAGCCTTAGGCATGGTCTTTATTTACTTGGATACTGTACAAATATTACAATTTCTTTTTGCTGCAAAAAGTATAAAAATAATCTTTATATAGGAATCCATTCGTTACTGCAAATCTTTCTAAATCTCTGCAAATGGCTCTAAATGAGGGTAAATGAATAAACAAGAAGGGAGGGTTGGTCTACACGACAGCAGGAGATTGGGCCAATCCTCAGGGGCTCACCTGCCCAGATTTCTAGCTAAAGACCTCTCTGTTCCTTCTGGTTGACAGCCCCTCTCCCCCACCTATAGGTTACTCAGAGCTAAAGGTCCAGCAGATGAGGGGTACACAGGAGAGGTCTAGGGGGAGCTGCAGGGTCGGGGTGGGGAGAAGTGAAGGAGGCTCGGAGTGGTGCTGGCAAGCATCTGGCTCCACCCTCAGCTTCCCTCCCCAGAGTGGGAGGCGTTGGCTGGAACAGGGCAGTGGGGCTGGACAAGTTGCCCTATGGGGATGATGGCAGGTCTTCAGTTCTGTGCCACTGAGTGGCAGCCGAGCCTTGGCTCTGAGAGGGCATGAGGTGGGGGAAAGCCCCAGAAAAGGAGAGGCAAACACTCTGGTGATAGGATTTTAAGTTTATTAAGATGTGTTTAGTGGCCTAACATATGATCTATCCTGGAGAATGTTCCATGTGCACTTCAGAAGAATGTGTATTATGTTATTTCTGAATGGAATGTTGAGTATATAACTGGTTTACTATGCCATTTCAGGTCATTATTTCCTCTGGATGATCTTTTGAAAAACTATTACTTTCTTTATAACAAGTTATAATGAGGACTAGTGGATTTTAGGGCACTAAGGAAATTCAAAATCTTTTTTTAAACTGTACTAAATATTTGAGAATTAAAGGAGTTGTAAGCAATTTACAAATATTCCCCTTTTGCTATCAATTAATAAAAAGCCCTCCATTTAGTGACAAACAAAATTTAAGTTTTTAAATTTATATTGCAAGTATGTTTTTGACTCTCTTCCAGTTACTGGCCTTCTCTGTGCTATGAAAAATAGATTATCAAGCCAAGTTTATCTTCCCTTTTCTTTCACCTCAAAATGTCCTCTGTACTATGGTTTTTTAAACTTTAGCATGCATCCGAATCTCCTGGAGAGCCTGCTAAAACATAGATTGCAGGGTTCTACTCCAAGTTTCAGGTTTAATAGAACTGTTGTAGAGCTTATTAATTTGCATTTCTTACAAGTTCCTGGTAATTTTGATATTCTTAATCTGGATACCAAACTGAGAACCACTGATCTAGGATTATACTAAGTTACTCTCCTTCAGTTTAAGAGAAATAAATAGCACTTCTCTCCAACAAATTTTACTTTGTACTCTTAATTCCATCTTCATCTCTATCACACAATTATTTCCTCTGTTTGCAGCTCTCCAATCTCTGTATGCACTGACTTCCTCCATTCTGCTTTCCTGATGAGTAGACTTCAATTTTTAAAAACACAAAACAAAGGCACCATCTAACTACCATTTTTGTCTCATGAATTACCTGTTCACTGCCAAATTTCTAGACAAAATATCCTTGAACCAGAACCTCTGCATGCTCTTGCTTTTCTTCATTACTTGGACCATCTCTGAATCAATTAAGAGTCCCAGCAGGAAACAGGTAGCACTCTCAACTTAGGTAAATTATTAATAAACCTATAAAAGCGTCAGCAGGATATAGGGAAACTACAATGGATACTGCAGTAACCTGAGCTAGAAACAATGAGATCATCCTGTCATTCCTAGATCTGAATGAGAGGAAGCAACACTTAACAGAATCTGAAGAACGCTCCACGGGAACAAGTTGACTGATAGGATTTATGACCTTCTGGCGAGTAGGGTAGCCCATAGTAATACCATGTAGGCAGGAGACAGGAAAAAACAAACAAACAAACAAAACAAAAAACTGTTCAGACTCTTTCCTCCTGTCAATATGCCAATATTATACTAGTTGCTCCAAACTAGCTAAAGTAACCAGAAGCTAGAAGGAAAATGAGCTAGCTGATAAAGTTCTAGAGTTCAACCTCACAAAGACAGAATAGTGGAGAGAATAGAGAATGGATCTGAGGTGCAAATAGATGATATCCAGCACAGCCCATACCTTTTGATTTTTAGCTTGTATTCTTGTCCTTTATTTTGGTAACAATTTCTGTTCTCAACACAGAAAACAAAATCCTATAAGCTGCCATTTCAGAAGATGATGTCAAATTCATTCATATTCTTCTCATGAACACATGGAGCAATCTCTAAGATTCTACATGATAAAATACATCTCAATAAATTAATAAATTTAAAAGGATTGAAACAATACAAATAGGTTCTCCAAATTTAACAAAATTAAAACAGAAATAAACAACAAAAGGATACTGGAGAAATTCCTGAATATTTTAAAATTAAACAATATACTTTTAAATAATCCACAGTTCAAAAAAGAAATCAAAAGGAAATTTTAAAAATTTTGAATGAAAATGAAAACATACAAAAATTAATGTGCTAAATGGTAAATTTATAGCTTTAAGTGCCTATTGGAAAAAAGAAAGCTCTTAAAATCAGTAATCTAGGGTTAAACATCTAGCAAAAGAACAATAAATTAAAGCTAAAGCAAGCAGAAAAAGGGAAATAATGAACATCAAGGTTAAAACCAATGGGGAAAAATAGGGAAAGCAATCAATGAACCCCAAAGTTGATTCTTTGAATAGATTAACAAAATTAATATATCAAGGGAAAAAAGGAAAGAAAACAGACCCAAAATTGAGAGTGAAAGTAGAAACCTCACCACCAAGCTTATCGAGATTAAAAGGATTAGAAATACTGTGCAGAACTTTATGCCAACAAACCAGGTAATTCAGATAAAGTCCTAGAGATATAAATTATTGAAACTGACCCAAGTAGAGGCACCTGGGTGGCTCAGTGGTTGAATATCTGCCTTTGGCTCAAGTGGTAATCTGGGGTCCTGGGATTGAGTCCCACACTACACTCCCTTCGGGGAGCCTGCTTCTCCCTCTGCCTCTGTCTCTGCCTCTGTCTGTGTCTCTCATGAATAAAGAAAATCTTAAAAAAAAAAATGACTCAAGAAGACATTAAAAAAAAATCTCAGTAAGCCTGTAATATGTAGAGAAATACTGTATTACTAAAGATTTTCTCACAAAGAAAAGCCCACATCCAGATGGAAAAAAAGGATAGCAGCTAAGGACTAAAGCAGTGTTTCTTAATGATGTTCTCAACCTTTCAAGAGTTAGTGAGGTCAAAACCATTTTCATAAGTTGTCATTTGTCTCTTTCTATCTCAGTTTCTCAAGTTTCTAGACACTATATGACAAAGGACACTGCAACAGAATGAATGCAGAAGCAGCTGGGAGAATTTAGGAGTCCTCTATTAACCCAGACAGCAAAGACCTAAACCTGAAATATGGAGTTATATATTTTTATATAGAGAAATATAAAACGATCCAAATCTTATTGTTTTGTAATAGTTACATTTCCATTAAAAATGTTATTTAACATGATAGTTTATTATTTTTAAAGGAACTGAATTTTTACTGTTCTCATGTTGCATACATTAAATACAAATATATGTGACACATATAAATAAAAGTTCTCTGGAGTTCTCAATTTTGTATCAGTATAAACCTTTGGTTGTGGGACCAAAAGGTCTGAGCATTTTTGGAAAAAAAGGACATAAAACACAGTAGTAAGTAATGAGAATGAAATGGAAAGGATTAAATAAAAGAAAGACAGGAGTTGGACAACCAATAGATTTGGGGGCAAATGAGGAAAGAGATAAAATAGAATCCAGAAGTTTGGCCCAGGGATGCCTGGGTGGCTCAGCGGTTGAGCCTCTACCTTTGGCTCAGGGTGTTATCCCGGAGTGCCGGGATTGAGTCTTGCATTGGGCTTCCTGCATGGAGTGTGCTTCTCCCTCTGCCTATGTCTATGCCTCTCTCTGTGTCTCTCGTAAGTAAAATCAATCAGTCAAATGTATGTATATATGTTTAGCCCAAATGCCATACAAGAATGACAAATTAAGAGATAAGGAAATAAAAAAAAAAGATCAGTGAGTTTGGTGATATCAAGAATTCAGTTTTGACATACATGAAATGCCAGCCAAGCAGCCAAGTAGACATATAAGAAAATAAAATATATAAAGACTAAAATATAGTTTGAAAGTTATGTGTGTAGGAAAGATCAGGTTGTCCTGGCATCTTACATAACTGAGCATCACTTCAAGCAAATAAGATATTCATAACCATAAATCTTGGATCACTTTTCCCTAATTCCTTGGTGGATGATTGTTATGTTTCTTCTGAAAAGCTCTCTTAAATGGACAATTCTGGAAGCGTCTGGGTTATACATTTATCTTCTCTAAGTGCTTTTTTATATTTTCTCAGTTTCAGTTAAATTACTATAGACCATTAACAATTTCTAAGAGGCCCAGCTTTAGGGGAATCAGACTGAAAAGACAAACTTAATTCTCATTAGTCACTTTCTCTGGAGTTTACTTTCTTTCTTTCTTTTTTTTTTTTTTTTTTTTTAATGAAACAGCTATTAATGCCCTTATGAGCAAACACATATATTCCAACCTCCAAAAGAGTTACAGAACAAACCTATATACTGACTAGCAATATTTCTCAACTGTCTGTCATTCCTATATAATATAAAGTAGGAATGTCTTAAACTTCTTTTAAAAGACATCCCTTTTGAACTTTGAGAGGTCCTAAATCCTACTATTCTGACAAAAAATTTACTTTTACTTTGATTGGTAGACTTATCAATTTTTCAAGTTGTCAGGATATTTTTATTTTACACCTCCACCTCCATGTAACCATCACCTTTCCAGGATAAAGAGTTCTATGACTTGTGGTCAATCTTAAAATCTTCTTCACCTCCCCGATCCTTTAAATTGACAATTTCTAGATTTTCTTCAATTCTATTAAGTCTTGAAGTCAAGAGATTAAAGATACATTAATTATTACAGGCAAAATAATATTGTTAGCAGAAAAAATCCCATCACTTTCCCAGGCTTTTTGGCAGCAAAGTATTAGGTTACTATCTTTATGGAATTATTAATGAAGAGTTATAGTGTATAGCAGTGCTTATCTTTCATTGTACTAGCAAAAGAATTCTTTTTCTCCCAATGAAATTTTATACAATACCTCACTATATAAAATGGGCCATAAAGTGCAATGCTCTGATGTTTGTAAAGACCTAAAGCCCCCAGAGGCTCAGTCAGCCCTTTTTCCTCCTTCACAACCCATCCAAAAAAAGGCTCTTTAGGGTGCTTCCCAGGCAACATGGAATGCACTGTGAAAACCATCACTTTAAAGCATCATTAAATGTTGAAGATGCCAATATGGATTTAGAATCAAAGCTTCACATGAAATAAAGCAATTACTTCAGAAGGCCTCTTTACTGCAACTTCAATAAAACTTTATAAAATCCATTTCTTCTCAAAAATAATATAAAACTTTTCACAGATGCATCCTCAAAAACTGCCTTTCTTAAGCAGTGAAGGAATGAACACAGCATCACTTTAAACAATACTGATTATAGTACAGTAGATCAGGAGGTCTACTGTAACTCCTCTTATGGTAGATGTCAATATAGTATATCAAAGACACATTAACAATAAAATGGATCAAGATTATTTTTTATTGCACATTTGCTTACAAATCTGCTGTTTGAAGTATAGCTAAATCTCAAGTATTAAGTTAGTTTCAGCCATATTTCCATCAACTGAATTAAAGCAGTGAATTGCCTATATATTCCCTTAAGATTATGTTTCAGAAACTGGAACATTAACCTTCCCAATTTGTCTAGTTTATTGGAGCACATATTTAACATTTGTTTTTTTAAAAATTTAACTACTCAAAACCAAATAGCATACAATAAAGAAAACAATGTTTATGTCTATTCATGTAACTCAAGCTCAGAGAACTTCTGATTACATAATATGGTAAAGGGTCTTCAAAACTATTCAATTCTTCTTTGTATAATTTTGGAAATTTTAATATTTTGAGAAATTGATTCTCTCATAATCAGACTTTTATAAGGTTTCCCCTCCCCACCAAAAAACAACCCACAATGACTCCAAATTTAATAAAGGAACCATTATCTTGGACTAAGCTTCAAAATAGTATTCACATTCTCTATTCACTGTACTCCACAGTTTAATGCAAAATGTGCTATACAGATCGAAATAATATGGCATTTGAGCAGTCCATGCTTTAAACAGACCTTGAAACATTGATAGCCTGATCAAAAGAAACACAAGAATGAAAACAACTACTGCAAATGCAAAATTTTGGCCATTAATGGATCAGAGTAATGGCTGATGCTCCTACTAAGCTCATCAATATCATATAAAAAACAAAGAAGAGTAACAACAGACATTTGGCAAAACCTTCTAAATTATTTATCCCAAATTCTCAAACGGAATTTTTAATGCCTCACTCTTAAATTTTACACTTCAATCATTCATGTTTTCCTTTTCAGACTGTTAAGAAATAATTCTACTTAAACTTTTAACCTATGTATCCTTTCACACATTTTTACATAAAAAATTACTAAAATCACAATTCTGTGGCATCTGTTTATAATCAAACATACACCTAAACTGCAGTAAAGAAATTAGATCCTTTCTTATTCTATCTAGAAAGATGTTACCAAATCTCTAAGAACTCTTTTCCACAGCTCTTCTTTGTAACAACCATGATTTATGAAAATTGCATTTCAACTCCATAGCAAATTAACATCCATGCTTATTCCACATAGGTACTGCTAGTGGTCCCTGTGGTGTCCTTTCAACAATAACAAACTCATCAGGGTTGCCAAATGCCTCATAGAAAACCAATAAATCTTGTATTGCACGCTCTTCAATCTGAAAAAAAAAAAAAGGTGAAAAAAAAAAGATCCTTTAATCTTTTAGCAAGATTATATTAGCTTTCCAATTTCCTTTTGTGGAAGTACAACTTTATATGAATACAATGCAGCAGAATTAAATGAGGTATCCTGCTATCCCCTAGGAAAGTAGAAGGCTTAAGGCCTGAAGAATAATCAGATACCCATCCTCCTTTGAATTTTAATCTTGAGCAGAAAGAAAAAACCCTGAAAATAGTTGTTGGAATCCATTTATTCCAATAACTTCAGGAAGATGCTTTCTGATACATAAGTCTTCTAACTCTCCAGGGCAACTATGGGTTATGTGTTTCCAAGCCTGGCTCTCTGGTCTTTCAAGTAAATCTCAAATTTTAGCATCCCTTGATAATTTATCCTTCCTTGAACTAGTCAAAATTGGTATCTGTGGCTTACAACCTAAGAACACTTTCTGATACAGAAGCACCAGATAACGCCAAGTTTGTTACTATTTATTTATTTATTTATTTATTTATTTATTTATTTATTTATTTATCTATCTATCTATTTTATATTTTATTTTATTTATTTATTATTTTAGAGCAAATGAGAGTGCAGCGGGAAGGATGTAAGAGAGAGAGAATCTTAAGCAAGCTCCACTGCCCAGCATGGAGTCAGAAAGGGGGCTCAATCTCATGACCCTGAGATCATGACCTGAGCTGAAATCAAGCGCTGCATGCTTAACTGACTGAGCCACCAGGTGCCCCTATTGATCACTTAAAAAAAAAAAAAAAAAAGCCTTGTGACAATTTATTCATTCTACATTAACCTAAATTCCTTCAATTAATACTCATTGAGCACCTCAGTTTTGTTTTATAGTACATTTTAACACAATAAATATATATACTTTTGAAATGAAAATAAACATAATTTTCTTAAGATGAAATGTAGTGTAGTTCTTCCCTAAATTAAGTCCATAAAAGCATATTACTTACCTGAATCAAAGCCAAGGGTTTTTCTCGACTTCTGATTAAAGCTGCTTCCTGCTGTAATTCTTCTTCTACAATAGATGCAAAAGTGACTGGAGCTACCACAGGAGGAGCAGTCAATGAAGAAGACAGCCAGGGACTGAAAGAATAGTAACAATGAGCTCTCATTATCTTCCCAAATTCTTGCATATAAATTCTCCTCTGAAATACTCTTCAACAGTGTTACACTTTTTCCCAGTGACCTATAATATGAGGGGACTTGAAAGCTTTTGCCTTCTTTTTATAGAATAGTAAGGTTAAGAAACAGAGGAAAGGAAAGCTAATATTTTATTTGGATCAGTGCTAAAAAGAATACTTTAGAAAACACCAAAAGGCTGGATGGAGCAAAAATGATATAACTAAACAGAAAGATAACTCAAACTGTGGAGCAGACAGTAGTCAGCTACCACATTCTATTCAATATCATACTACTCCCAATTTCTTAATATTATCTTTCAGTGCTAAACAACAGCCTAGCTTTTGATGCTCCAAAGCTAATCAATAAGCCTTACTTGGGACTGTCTAGAAGTGGTAAATCTGAAATATGGTTGCCTTCTGGTCCTGGGGTACCATGAGGGGAGCATCTGCAAAACAAATACCAAAACTGGAGATTAAAATTTCTACTAATATTAGTAAAACTGTTTATTCATAGAAATACAGAAGAAGAATTATAAGTCCTGACACAGGATACAAGTGAAGGTGTGGAATCAGACTTACTTTTAAAATTTAAGTTAAAAAAAAAAGTCCACAGGTATATAAACCCTAATAATATTCATAGAACCATTTACTATTATCAAACATACATTAGGAAATACAGAAAACTTTGTAAATAAAAGTTTTACATTAAAAATTGTTTATGAATAAAAGTGAAAAATTAGCACTAAGTTTCAAAATACATACAAACTGAATAATTAGCCAAATTTTGTGAGCAACTAATATAGTAAATACTTTGATAAGCCAGGAATTATAGGATAGAAATATATGATTACTATGTTCTAAGAACTCACAAACTAAGTGAGGAAACAGTATATAAAATGATGTAGCAGAAAATAAGATACGATCTAACAGAGGCACCTGGGTAGCTCAGTATCTGCCTTTGTCTCAGGTGGTGATCCTGGGGTCCTAGGATCGAGTCCCACACCAGGCTCCCTGTGAGGAGCCTGTTTCTCTCTCTGCCTATGTCTCTCTGCATCTCTCATGAATAAATAAAAATCATTAAAAATAAAAAAAAGATAAACTATCTAACAGGGCTATAGAAATCTAAAAAGATCTGATCATTTGAGAGGGCCTCATGGAGAAGACAATAAAAGAGGTGTAGGATGAGGGGGCAGAAGTATTCGTGTAAGAGAAATAATTAAAGGTACTATAGAGACTGGCCTAAATGTGGAATTTTACAGCTAAAAATACCTAGAGATTATCTGGATTAATCCAATCCCCTCTTTCAGAATGAGCAAACTTAGGCCTAGACAGGTTTATCAGAAAGTCAGAGAATGAACAAATAGCACCTAAAACACTGACTTCCTGATTCATTTATGGAGTTACTAGGTATGTGTAGCACTATGGTGCTAAAAATCAGGCTGATTAAAATTCAGTCTCTTCTCCTCTAAAAATACTGGGGGGAGAGGTTTAAAAATCTATTTATAAACAATAATAAAAAATGTGAGATAAAACAATTGATGCCTGTACCAATACGTACAAAGTAATATGAATTAACAGGAGATACTGACATAATATGGATGAGGGTACATGCTCTTGGCTTCACTGGGGAAATGGCATCAAAGCTGAGAGTGGCAGTGAAATAGCATTTTTGGTTGTACAAATGAATGGAATGGTAAAAGCCACCAAAGCCTTTTCAATAAATAGGATAGGATTAAGAGTTTGCAAGGGATTAAAAGAGAAATAAAGTTAAAATGAACCAGTAGGCCAAGAGTACCAAATGCACGGAAAGCTAAAATGTTTAGACCTAATGTGTGGGCAAATAAATTTACTGAGAGTATTTTTATATACATATCTCATTTAATCTTTGCAATACTCTATTAAAAACCATGTATTATTTCCATTACACTGATTAGAAAATTAGGTTCAAAGAATATTATATAATTGCCCGATTCACAGATTGCCTAAGTAGAGACAGAACTCAAAGCAGGTCTTTTTTACTCAGAGTACAGTCTATTTTCCATTATCACAAACCTGCCTTTATTTCTATTATTCCTCTTAGTTTAGAATACATTCCACTATAAATGTCTTCTTATTCTTTAAGGACTAGCTCAAATATCACCTTCTCTCTCTTCCTACAGCATTTCAACTACTATTATAGAGCTTCACACACAGTAATTATTGCTTACATGTCTATCTTAACTACTAGACTAGTCTCTCAAGGTACGGCACTGCGTCATTCTTGTTTGTATCTCAGTGTCCAACAGAACACCTGGCACATAGTTGTTTGTAAAAATATAATTAAAGTATAAACAACAGGGGCGCCTGGATGATTCAGTCAGTTAAGCATCTGCCTTTGGCTCAGGTCATGACCCCAGGGTCCTGGGATCACACCCTGCATCAATCAGGCTCCCTGTTCAGTAGAGAGCCTGCTTCTCCCTCTCCCTCCAGTTGCTCCTCCTGCTTGTGCGCTCTCTCTCTCCCACTCAAATAAATATTTTAAAAAACAACAGTAAGAAAGCCAAAGGATTTTAAGTATGAGATAAAAGCAGGATTTTTTTTAAAGTTCCTTATTCCTTTGAATTACTGATAACTTCTTTCTTCTAGATGTTAGGTACTGAAATACAAAATGAAATGAAAGGTATAGCTATAGGTTTTTAGTTTTAAGTTTTAGGACTTGAAATCTACTGGGTGCTTGACCTATGACCTCCAAAATAAAGAGATATCCCCAGGATAAAGTAGAAGACTTCCAACCAGGAGAAAAATGAAGCTAAGGAAATAAATTAGAAAGCTACTGGAGTGTTATAAGATGATGGAAACCTAGACTAGAATAACTACAAAATAAATGGGAAAAATTTTACATTCTGATGAAAGAGAGAGCTACCTTAAAGACTAAATTCCCATGGTTTAAGTTCCCTGAAGTCCTTAAAAAAAGAAAGAAAAAAAAAGGAAAGAAGGAAATTAGGAAAGAAAGAAAGACATAAAAGAAAGAAAGAAAGCATCCTAAAGTCAGTCCAAGGCTATAGATTAGAGGCCTTCTAGGCACTAAAGCATAACATGGAATAAACACAAACACAGATAATGACTTAAGTGGTGCTCAAAAATCTCTCTGGTGTCTGGGGATTGGCTAAAAGTGTTTGACACTTTCAAAGAAATAGAAAAATACTGTGGAATCTATTATTAAGTAAGAAGCAGCAACTACAAGCTGTCTGTGAAAGTGATAATGGTACTGGCTAGAACAAATCGAGTATCAGGATTAAAGTATTTTATATAGGCCTTATTAAACCAAAGTTAAGCAATCAGAGCTTAAGTATAACTTACCTGTATAATCTATAATTTATAGAGTACTTCCATATATATTATCAGATATAAGCCATAATAAACCTGTATGATAGGCATTATTATTCTTGTTTCATATGTGATAAAACTGGTTCAGAAAAGTTCAGAGGGCTACTGTGTCAGACTGAAACTCAAATCTGTTTCATAAGATTGTAATCCCAGAAGTCTTTCCATGGATAATCTCATTAGTTATAAATTTACCCCAACAACTGAAGCTCCATGAAAATTTCATCTTAAAGTAAAACTATTAAATAGAGCTATGATTAAACAAATATCAAAAACATGCTAAGCTTTCAGATAATAAATACAGCATTATTAAGCTGTAGGTATTTGCAAGACAGAAATAGACATCTCAATAGACAATCTATAAAACTTGGCCTTCTGAAAAAATCATTTAGAGATTTTTGTTCAAACTGAACATTAATCTTACTAAATTTAGACTTTGAGAATAAATAACTTCTTATATAGCTGACTTTTAATTTTTTTAAAGAATCCTGTATTAGCTTAATTACAAAGATTTTTAAGTATAGAGCTTATATAATAATTTTTTGTCTCACAAGCAGTTTTCCTTACCAATAAGAAACACAAGATCAGTTTCTGCCCAAGAATTACATAAAAGGGTGTTTAAGTGGAAGGAAAATGAAAGAAAATGCATGAAAATGAAAAAGAACACATAAGTAACATACATAAGTTCCACAAATCTCTTTACATTTTAACATCCCCAAATAACAATGGCATTCCTTGGGGATCCCTGGGTGGCGCAGCGGTTTGGCGCCTGCCTTTGGCCCAGGGCGCGATCCTGGAGACCCAGGATCAAATCCCACGTCGGGCTCCCGGTGCATGGAGCCTGCTTCTCCCTCTGCCTGTGTCTCTGCCTCTCTCTCTCTCTCTCTCTCTCTCTCTCTCTCTCTCTCTGTATGACTATCGTAAATAAATAAATAAAATTAAAAAAAAAAAAAAAAAAAAAAACAATGGCATTCCTGGACTTCCCTAGCTTTGAGGGAAAAATTACATTTTCTACAATTAAAACAAGAATATAGGATTTGAGGAACTTCTAAAATGAGCTCCATTACACTTGCCACAAAAATTCCCTAAATACCACAGCATTTCTGTCTTCTAGCTGTAATTCTATTTCCTCTATTTAATTTACACTGCCTCTTCTCTTTTAAAAATCCTATCCTAAGTTCAAAAGCTTATGGCAATGAAATAGATCAATATTTTTCTAATACTATTCATATGGCCATACATATAATGATCAAATATTTGGCACTAATTAAGAAAAGTGTTTATAAACTGTTCCTCAAGCCCTTCTTCAATTAGATTTTTCCTGATAATTCCAGCCCATGGTCATTTCTTCCTCTCTGAACCACTCATCTGGCACTTAAATCATATATTGCCTTGTGACTTAATACTCTTACATTATATTGCAATTTCATTCTTGACCTTTCATTTAACTTTCATGTGTGCCCCCTTAGACTTACCAACTAGATTTCAAACACATTTAAGGGACTAGGCCTATATATAACACTTTTATATATACACCTAATAGAAGCTAGCAGAATGTTGTGCAGATATAATTTGGTGATTATTTACTTTTATTATTTCCTTTTTATATCTCACTTATGATTACACATTTTCACAATGAAATTAAAAAATTAAAATGAAAGTCATGCTATTTCCCTTCTCAGTGATCAAACGGTAATAATACACAGTGATCAGTGATAACATACAGCTATTTAAAACATTAACTTCCATGCTATGGCTGTCATGATCATTATTATATACTCCTTTACAATTTCTAAACCGGTATAATAGCAGATGCCACTTTTCACGATTAAGAGCCCTGATGTTATAGCACGCTCTAGTGATCAACTATAAAACCACAGATCTTCAATACTTTAAGACAAAGACTTAACCCAAAGAAAGTAAGAAATTTTCAATCGATAGTGTTAATATTTAAAATGTAAAAATATTACAAAAATGAACTTAATGTTCATACCTTACAATTTACAAACTTGAAGCATACAATAAAACTTACTCATTAGAAACAACTGTTACCTAAAACAGCTACAGTTTTACCTCATTTATT